TGGTCTGCAATCGCCATCACAAGCTATTAAACCAAGCTTTTCTTGATACCTTCGAATGAGTGCTGACACTCAGCGCTCCATGACCACCTCTCGTTTTTCTTTAGCAAACACTAGAGATGAACGATCATCTCGGCGTAGTTGCGCGAGTATTTGTTCAAGTACGCCACCAAGCCAAGGAACTTTAGAAGTCCCTTGACGTCGACTGGCACAGGCCAGTCGCTAATCGCCTTGATATTTTCTGGATCAGGGCGTACGCCGTTTTTACCCGCGATGCAGCCAAGAAGTGGTATTTCGTTCGCTGCGAATATGCACTTCTTAAGGTTCGCGAACAACTTATGCTCTCGCATTCGAGTAAGAACCTTCCGGACGTGTATTCTATGAACCTTTACGTCCGTCTTTCCATCCGTAATCCGGCTATGGACGAAGACATCGTCGAAGTAACTCGGTGCGAAGTCGCACACCGATTACAACAGATTCGTTGCACATCTGTTAAACATTGCGTGGGTGTTACTTAGCCCCTGTGGTATTACTAGCCACTCCCAGAGCATACCACTGGGGGTAGTCACTGCTGTGTAAGGGGTATCCCGTTCACGCATGAGGATCTGATAGAATCTATCCATCAAATTCATGGATGAAAAGATGGTACTTTTTGCCATACCATCTATGATGACGTCCTTTCTTGGAATCGGCATTTGAGCCGGTACCGTTGCAGCATTCAATTTGTTGAGCGCGTGCACTATCCGCCACCCTCCAGTGGCCTTTCGCACACTGAAGGTCGGAGAGCTGTGTGGATATGTTGATTCCCTCACATGACCAGCCGCTAATCGATTGGCAAATAATTTATCGATCGCTGTGACCTGTTCACGAGGCAGTGGCCACTGCTTCATGACACAGTATTTCTAACCAGGTTTCAGTTCGATCTCATGCCGCGTGCCTTTATCTTTGGGCAGCTTGCATGGCACGGATTCCGGGAAAACATCCCTGAATTCTATCACATTCTTATACAAAGGATTTGTCTATAAAGACTCCCAAGGTTGTTTGAGACGTGTATCGCTCAATCCGGGTCTTCTCATCGATGACACTATCGTCCATAGATGAACTACTGAGAACACGTTCGTTCTCAGCAAACACTTGTGCCGACCGAATATCGGCGACGTAATCTTCCTCTGTGACGGGTACGCAGATCTGCTTGATCTCATCACTACGCAGATCTCGCAAGAATCTTTTAGATTCTAGCGTTGGCAATTTGACCACCTCCGAAGCTGACTTCGGGGGCGTAACCAGATCAAGTGTATAAGCGCCTACAACTGATCCGTCATTCACCAAGACATTCAGTGTCTCGGGGACTTGCTGGGAAAACACATCCGCAGGTGGTAGGGGATCCACACCCTCAACGTAACTCTCTCGGGAGTTATCACTATCAGGAACGCTGGAACTTTCTTCCAATACGTGTACTGACTGTGGGGGTACTATCACGGTCACGTCCTCTTTGATCGACCCTCTTTTAGTCGAGCGGGCTTGCTCTACGATCGACTCTCTGATAGTCGATCTCGCTTCAACGTGTTGTTTATCCTGAACAACACCAGTCTCTCTTCTCGGATAAACCCTTCTTGGTGTGCATCCGCGTTCCAGTCCACTCAATCTCTTCGAGTGGTAAACCTTCGGCGCAGCCTGTGTCTCTACACAGGTGCCGGAAGCTGGTTCCACAGTGTAGTGGCCTTCTACACTGTGATCTTGTGCAATCGTACTAACGACCGTACCACGAGTGAGGCCATCGCACTCACTCGTAGTACATCCACACGCTTGTGGACGCTCCAAGACGTTCATCAGATGGCCATTCGATGAACAAACGGCAGGCAACTTCACGGATCGATGCTGCCAGCTAACCCATGGCTGGTACTTTCTAAGCCATGGCAGACCAAGACTGACATCAAATTTTTCATCCAAGTTTAATACGATCAAGTCAGCTTCGTATTGTTTTTCTTCTAGCGTGTAGTGGATTCCCACTACACGTTTGTTTACTGTTACGGATGCGCCTGTAGCAAGGCACACCGTCATCCTCGTTGGAGGGAACTCTCGCTCAACATAGTTGAGACTACTATCCCTTAGCGACTGGCGTCGAGTGAAACTGTTCGACATACCACAGTCAACTAGGGCGCGAAGTGACATTCCCTTGTCACTTCGATCTTCAAAGTGATGAGTGACACCTTGTCACTAGGGGCAGTAGTAACAAACAGCGATTGTGCATTGGTAACAATCTTCGTCAAGCGTCCTGCTAATTTCCTTGACGTTGCTGGATCAGCAGGGTGCTCCGCCCCTACTGACCCTGTCCGTTTTTTGACGGTCCAACTTGCTGTCATGGTTTAGCGACATGGTCGGATACACGCCTTGGACCTTTCTTCGGCCAACGGTGGTCATCACGTCCTGTCTTTGGACGTGTTGCAGTGCTCAGGACACTACACTCATGAGCGTAGTGGCCAATCTTCTGACAGCGATGGCCTCTTGCTGTTCGCTTGGGACTTAGAGAGCGAGAGCTCTCGCTGTAAGAGAAATACGTTGGTTCGGGACCTCCTGTTTCCTGTCGTCTCGTCGGACGATAGTTGGACGAGTTAGCCTGAGACTGTCTCAGGCTGAAGTCTTCTTGTTCCGCATACGCTATCGCCCTTTCCAGCGTATGGAAGTCCTCTCGGAACATGTAGGTCTTCATCGGTCCATCTACAAGGCCGTAGATGAACACGTTGATGAGCGTGTGCTCATCAACAGGGTTTTCCGTGACGCTACTCGCAAGGTAGCGCAGGTGCTGTGCGTAAGCTTGCACATCACACTTACCTTGCTTTAGCCTCAAGAGTGCAGAGCGTGCTCTGAGCCCGGCTCTTGGCGGCTCAAACGTCTCTTTGAGCCGAGACTTCAAGATGGTCCGACGTCTCAAACACGTTTGGGTCGTGAAGATTGAGCCCCAAGGCCCAAGTCTTTGCCCGTCCCGTCAAATTTGATAGGGCAAAGGTGACTTGCATCTCGTCACCCTCGATGTAACGGGCCCTGATGGCATCGTCTAACTCGACGAACCATCTCAAAAGGGAATCTTGCTCGGTTCCCTTGTACCTTGAGATGTCTATCTTCAAGATTTCGGGTCGACGCATGTGCGTCGGCCCGCACATCGGCTGACGAGAGCCTTGCTGCTGTAGCAAGGCTATCTTCTGTCGTTCGACGGCAAGTTCCCCTTGTAGGAACTTGTTGATAGCAGCATGTTGCTGGTCTCTGCTTCGAGACTCCAACATGCCACTGCTGGCGGGTTCGCCCATGAGCACACTCATACGACCGACTACCTCCCATTCTGAGTCACTCAGGTGGGAGTAGCCTTCACGTGTGACGTGAAAGCTGTCGTCTTCTACGTCCAACATGAACATGTTGGACGGACACTAAGCAGTCGTTGGACGGACTACGAAGTGCTGCCAGGTGTAACGAGGCACCCTTTGTTTGGGGTGCCACGAAAATTCACGTACATTAGTACGTGCAGAGGAAGCTAGTTTACTCAAACAGCGAGTTTGAGTAAAGGGTAAAAAAGTGAACTGCATTTAAGATAGTTAAGCTATCGACATAACTTCGGTTTTTATCTAACTATATTAATCTACATTGTCGTGTGATGACAACCTGCTCACCACTCATTGCGCGCGTCTAGCAGGGATAGGTGGTAACCTTGGTAGACATGTCATTTATCAACCAATCTTCGAGCAGCGCATGAATATTATCCAAAACGGGATAATATTCCTTCAATATTATCCATCTCGGATAATATTGGTAGAATGTTGTCACGCTAGACAATCTCCCTATTGCCACTGTTTGGTGTCAATATCATGTAACGGGCTTCCCCGTTACATTACGCGAGTGGACCAAGGCACCGATCTTATATCTGTAGTGATGGTGTCGGAAATGCAAGCGTTGTTCGCATATATGGATGGAGAAGTGTATGTAAAGTGAAAAAGGGACGAAAAGCTGTGAGCTGTTGTTAACAATGAAATGCTAGTGTCGTATCACAACTTTTTGTCATGGATGGTGGACTTTTGACATTGCACTAATTTGAGTGTACATCGTAGTTTTTCTATAACGAATAAAGCTCTTAAAAGCAGTAAGTAAGTATGGAGACATCACTTCTGCCTGAAATGTTTTGATAGTTCGCTGTCGTCGTGGATGTTTATCATCACGTATATTAGATTAGGAAACACTTCAAAGCGGTAAACCGCAGCACTACCGAAGTCGTCGTGTTCGCGTTGTAGACGATACAACTTCTCTGCCGACTGTTCGGCGTCGCAGTTCGCTGCTGTTCTGACGAAACAGAAGTCGTTGGGAGCTTCTGGTACATTGTACAACACACAGATCAATCAGGCTGCATTTCTGACATAATCAATCCTGCCTTTAGAGCTGGAAGCATGCCCAACATGCCATGTCGTCAAGTTTCTCATCATACGACTACTATTCCCACTCAACAACCGAACAAGGGTTTGTGTTTTAAGCCGGGCTTCTAAAACAGTTTGACGGCCATAGTCTAGACACAAAACAGTCAGAGATCGAGAAGAAGGTAGTGGCTTAGGTGACGATTCTAAACACCGCGAACAGTATTTCAAACGCCAACATTTAGAACCACAGCTTTTTATCACGCGAAATGTAAGTAGCACGCCTTCTAGTGGGTTCGTACGCACGCGGATCAAAGGGTCAACCACAGATTTTTTTGTGTTGCGCAATATCAAAATTAATCTCTCAAATTTGCTGTAGTTTCTGCGGCCGAAGAACATTGACATTCAATTGTATGGACGTTCGAGGGCCTTCAGCATGCTGACACTTGACAACAAATAGGAACAAACGCACGACTTCTGTCTTTCGCTGAAGATCTTAAAGTATAACAAAGTAATTGCATTGACAATGTTATATCTGCACGTACAGAAAAACAGGAATGTGCGCTAGGAACTCCTAAAAAGACATGATGTACCGACAACCTCTCGTTCTTACTTGTTGCGTTTAGATTTCTTACCTTTGATCTTTTTGACAATGAGGCTGACCTTAAGTTTCCTCAGATTAAGCTGGAGGGTTCGTGAGTTGTTAATAGGCAACGATAGCACCGACACAGCCTTTCCCTTGTATCCTTTGAATAGTCCTTTAATGGCGCCAAACGTTTTTTTCAGTTGTGGCTGCTTCGTAGATTTCGTGTCCCAGGAGTCGTTCACGTACGCTGCCCAAATTGTGAACTCTGGCGAGTCAGCCAGGCTGACAAATTTTGGATCCTTGAGCCGTTCCGACAGAATTTTCTCGAGTTTGAGAGACCCGAAGAGGTCGTCTGCCTCTATGCCGCGAGCCTTCCATAGTTGGAACTGCTTGCTCTGCATGCGCTCCGCGATAGCTTGAAGGTCGGGATCATCCACACGCCTAAGGGCATGAATCGTCGACAAAATCGCCTTCTCGGTGAACGAGGTCATCATTGTGTCAACGTTATTCTTGCCTTCCGCCTCCATGAACCTCTCAAAGATCCTTTTGCTCTGTCTTGAAAGGTTCCATCTTGCCCAGTAATGATGTGCGTGATCAAGAGCCCTTTTCAGGTACTGGGATACGTTTACGATCAGTTCAGTAGTCGCCTCCGCTTGTAGATCAACAACCTGAGCAAAAGTAATTCGCTCTTCGTTACCATTGTCGGCCTTTCCTAGACGCCTCTGACCAGGACCGTCGGCGTGCATGCCGAGCAATCCTGGATGTCCGGTCGGGAAAGCAACATACGCCGTTGCGAAAAAGTTAGCACTAAGCAGCAGAATAGCTACGCGAAGTGGCATGGACCTTGACCCAGCAATTTGAATAATGGGCTTTGAAAAGTAGAGTGCAGAGCCGATATTGTGTCATCATCTGAAAGTGAACCCATAACACAGTAGTTACGGTTCAAAAATGAATTGTACATAACTCGGTGCTTTGCACCGCTCAGTGAATGCTCTACCCCTATACAGGACTAAACTCGTGGTTCGTGACCGGGTGGTCCGGAGGGAGGGACGCGTGGCATGCGACCAGGCCTTTCAGAGCAAGTGTAGAATCCAAGAGCACGAGATACACGTCTGCTTATCCGACGACCACTTTGCGGGTACACCCTTACATTTATCTTGCTATACCTAAAGGGTAGACCAGAAGTAGGCCAAAGATTTTCAGCGAAATCTTTGTGGCCGTGCGGTCATGATTGCGGCAAAAACATGTGAGGTGAGGTCCGGATTGGCCCGTTGCCTTTTGTTCGTGCTTTGTGCAACTCATCAAATTATTCCTAGGCAGCGGACCGTTGCTAGCCGGTATCTAGGCGGACCAGATCACATTTTTAGCTCTGTTACAGCTCACAACACATGCTTTCTTTTTTAATTACTAGCAGCGTGTATCGAAAGTATCATAGAAATGCCTATTTCCGTCCATAACATGTGGCTTGTCAGATATCACTTGCGACGTAGATTGCAGCAGAACATAGGAGTAAGCCGCAAGCAGCTCTAGCTTAGTCACGGTCGTATGTTCTGATTTAAAGTCGGTACAATCAGATTTTTATCAATTGCGGCAAATCTTTGGCTAGAGGCGGTTTAGCATCACCTGCATCACTAGTAGTGCGGTGGTTGCAATCCCGAAACACCATTGTGTCTGATCCTTCTTCCCTGTCATTTTTTTTTCCACATGCCTGATTTGCAGCAAGTAAATATTCGCTCGCACGAGGTCTGAGCCTGCGTCCAATACTCACTGCAGCGTGCGCCCTTGTAGGATTAACTACATTATGTATTTTGAAAGGATATGTAAAACTGTGCCAAAATATTGCAAACGAAAATGTTTTTCGCATGTTTAAAATAGGGAGCTGCTAAATTCACAACCCTTTTCCTTAGATTCATACCATTCCTTCAAAATCTTATATATAAAATCCCTATTCATTTTAAGATTTGTTTTTTAGCTTTTAAACCATTAAAAGACGTTACACGCAAGTCGAGAAGACGTCGATTTTCGTGCATCTCGTACTTAACATATGCTCAATAGGTTGAGGGTAGCAAATTGACAAGCTGTCCGTGAAGCATGCTCTAATGTCTGTAAGCAGTCAGGGGGGGACGAAAACAAAGCGTGCTGTACTCTAACCGAGCCGAGGCTCTTACGGATCTACTCCGTCACCTTATGCATTTCTATCTATCTATTTATTTATATCTATTTATCGATCTATCTGATTATATCTTTGATCTACTTATTTCTCTCTATCTAATTATATCTCTTTTCTATTTAGTTGATGCAGTGGAAAAGACTTTGCAGGGTGTCGAAATAGCTACGAAAAAATTGGCTCCCAAGTCGTGGGCTAAAGCGGTGGGCATTGACAAGACTCAGCCGTTACTGGAAGGAAGTGGACAGGCGACGTCGTGGCCTATTGCAGCTGCTAATGATGAAAACGCAGCAGCTGCAAAGATAGTGAGGGATCCAACGAAGCCGGTTGTATTCGAGAACGTGATCCAGGAGGCACATAGTTGTTTGGACGTGTCGGCACCAGCTGAAGAGATGAAAAAGAGGTAGAAAGAAGTAAATTACGAGGAAGAGAGTGAGAAAGGAGAATGTACTGACGTTGTGGTGGTTGTGGATATTGAATTGCTGCAGGGGGCTGGTAAATCAAGGCAACACGTGCTTTCAGAATGTTATCATGCAGTCTGTGCTGGCTTGTCCGCCGTTTTTGAAGTGAGTTGTTTTGTGCTGGGCTGTTACTAGTGTTCCCTTTGGTGTGCTCACTGTGTGCAGTTTGTTGGTCGAGATTTCGACTGCTTGTTCACCAACGACATCAATGTTGGCGAGTACACCGACGTTCAAGGCGTGGCGACACATGGTGGCGTTTACGCGCGAGTTTAAAAAACCGACACTGGCTCAGTGTACGTCGAGCATCGTTTTTTTGTAGGTGTGGATGGCGTATCCGTTGTTGGCAGTGCCAAATGATAGTGCGTCGTTTGAAATTGTTTCGATGAAACAGTGCAGGATCAAGTCAGTCACGGTGACCGAAAGGCCAACGATATGCATGGCAAAGCACCACAGGCGATTCGTATCAGCGGGTACTTCATGGACGTATTGAGTGCTTTCCAGCAGACGCGCGGAGAGCAGGAAGATGCACTGGAGTTTTTGGAGTTTTTCTTGGAGTATTTGCATGCAGAGCACGAAAAGAGTGGTCTACGTTTGCCTGCCTCGTGTGAAAAGCAGACAAAGCGTGCTTCTGTGATCGAGCAGAATGAAGCTAGTGTGGACGCGGACGCTAAGAGTGCTCAAGCGTTCGATGACGGTTGGGCAGAGGTTGGTAAGAAAGGCAAGAGCAGCGTGCTACGTCAGAATCCCGTTGACACTGTCCGCTCGCCGATAAATTGGATGTTTAAGGGTACACTACGCTCCGAGCTGAAGCTGATCGGCAAGAGACAAAGTTCGATTACTGTGGAACCGTTTCACTGCTTGCACTTGAACCTCAATTACGAAACACAAGACTCATCGCTTGTTACAGGCGAGAATGGCACGGCCAAGTCATCCGACGCGTCAACTACTGTTGAAGAGATGATCCGCAATTCATTCGACGTCGAGGTGATCGAAGACGCCAACCAGGTCCCTACGATGAAGAAGTTAACGACGGTGGAATCCCTTCCCGCTGTTTTTACGCTGAGCGTGTAGCGTTTAACATACCATCCGAAACAGGGACCGGTCAAGTTACAGGAGTTTGTAAAGTATCCGCATTTTCTGGTGTTTCCAACACAGCTACTGTCCGCTGCTTGTCGTGCGGAGAATGGATTGGACTCGTCAGGTGCTGCGCCCGTCAATGATTTCTGGCCCGTTGTCTCCTCTTCCTGTGTACGAGTTGTTTGCAGTCGTGTCGCACCTGGGCAAGCACGTGGTGGGATGTCACTACACTTTAGTTTGCCGCGACAACAAAGACCAGTGGGATCGTTACGATGATGAGCATGTAACATCGATCTCGGAGGCTGCGGCGCTCAGTGAGACTGCTTACTTGTTGCTCTATATCCGTACAAGTAAACAGCCACCTGAACCGGTTGTAGTGCCACTCTCACTTTCAAGCTCCCCATTTATCAAGGCGACGAGCGTCAGTGCCCCAAGATGCAAGAGCAGCAACCTCACCGGGAAAAAAGTTTTTGGTGGAAAGAATCGGAAACAGCCCGCATCTGCGTCATCAGTACTCCCTCCGGCACCTCGACTGATTCCAGGCATGTCTCCAACAAAACAAGCCGTGGCAACAACATCGAAGGCAAAGAAGTCTAGTATGAAGAAAGCTTGAGGGGGGGGGTAGATAGCAGCCAGGGTAGTGAGAGATAACTGCGTGCTTAGAAAAAACGGTTCATAAAGACAAAATGGTATACTACCTTAAGTGCACACAAGGAGTTCCTCGTTCGATTAGAGTTTTACTGGAAAGTCGTTGCACCGTAGGTCTTGTAGAGGTGCTGTAATTTATTTAGCTAATCGACGATTAACACAAGGTTAGCACGAGAGTGCCTCTGGTGCACTCGGTTTTCTTTCGACACATTGCACTCATAACATTGAATAGAGTTGTCACGAATGTGAGTGCGTCAATGGATACTAGTATAGTTTGCGAAGGGATCTGCGTAGTAAAGGGCTTGTGAATCTGGCTTGAGATAGCATTGTTGTTCCTCTAGCGAGTAGTATGTGCTGTCTACTTAATGGTGACCTCGTGCTGTGCCCGGGGACAAGACGGCGTCCAGAGGCGTGGCTGTTTTTACAGAGCGAAGGATCTAACTTGCGATAGACGCACACTCGAGTAGGTTTGCTAATACGACACTTTATCTTGCTAGCTTTATTTGGGAGCAATTCTACAAAGCTCGAGGATGACGTCTAGTATATCTTGACATGTTGTCCAGCAAGTTAAACAAAACGTTCAAGGATGTATTTGCCTTGTCGAAACTGAGGCAGCGGATTATGTTTGATCGAGTGCGAGGTAATACAATGTGGAATCCGGAGGTTGTACTGCCCAAATGTAAGAAGACCACCCACAGTGTTTTCGCACGACGGCTTGTCGCCGCTGGATTTCCGCGTTGCTTACAATTTAATACTCTGCCACGGTTTCCATTTCGTCACGTGGCATCACGCTTGCACTGAGTTCAGTATCGGGACGTGCAGGATCTGTCACGCTTTAGCAGTTTCGCCAAAATGAAAAACTGAGAGGCGTTTGTCACGAATTCAAATTTACCACAGTACATTTCATCAGCCACAAAACATCATGGCGAGCCACGCGACCAGTTCAATAACATGTACCTATTGACAGCATACATTTCCGTGCGAGTTCACTAGCGACCGGTGTTCGGAGTCTCATACTGTCGGCAACTCAGAGACTTCCCTTGACTTCTAGGATTTGATACATACCGTTAGCAACACAGGGACTTACCGTGACTTCTGTGACTCGACGTGACATTGTAAGCACACAACGTCGTCACCTCATTGATCCCTCTGACAATTTGTTCACATTCGATTTATCGAGTAATACCTTTGTCAGAAACAAATCTTAAAATGAATAGGGATTTCATATATAAGATTTTGAAGGAAGGTGTGAACCTAAGGAAAAGGAGTGTGAATTTAGCATTCCCTTAAAATATTGAGAGTCTCGAAAGCCAAACTAAAAATTTAAAATTAACGACACGGAATAAGATTGAATTTACTTTCCACATGATTTAAAATAGTGCATTGTGAAATACACCCCATACACCACACCCGTCCCACACTAAACGTTTGTATGACGAATATTGCGCCTACCTGCTTTTACACGACCACTATCGCACGACAATCTGCACCGGTCGTATAAATGGTAAGTGTAACGGGGCAGCCCGTTACATGAAATTGACACCAAACGGTGTCAATAGGAATATTGTCTAGCATGACAATATTCAACCGATATTATCCGAGGTGGATAATATCGCAGGAATATTATCCCGTTTTGGATAATGTTCAAGCGCTGCTCGAAGATTGGTTGATAAATGACATGTCACCATAGATTGCCACCAATCGCTGCTAGACGCGCGCAATGAGTGGTGAGCAGGTTGTCGTCATACGACGGCGTAGTTTAATATAGTCAGATAAATATTAAAGTTATATTGATAGCTTAACTACAAAAATACAGTTCTCTTTTTACCTTTACTTGACTTGTTGACCGAGTCGATCAAGTAGATAGCTTACTCTGCACGTACTAGTGTACGTGAAGTTTTGCGGCACCCCAAACAAAAGGGTGCCCCGTTACACCTGGTAGCACTTCGTAGTCCGTCCAACGACTGCTTAGTGCCCGTCCAACATGAACATGTTGAACGTAGAAGACGACAGCTTTCACGTCACACGTGTAGGCTACTCCCATCTGAGTGACTCAGAATGGAAGGTAGTCGGTCGTATGAGTGTGCTCATGGGCGAAACCGCCATCAGTGGTATGTTGGAGTCTCTAAGCAGAGACCAGCAACATGCTGCTATCAACAAGTTCCTATAAGGGGAACTTGCCGTCGAACGACAGAAGATAGCCTTACTACAGCAGCAAGGCTATCGTCAGCCGATGTGCGGGCCGACGCACATGCGTCGACCCGAAATCTTGAAGATAGACATCTCAAGGTACAAGGGAACCGATCAAGATTCCCTTTTGAGATGATTCGTCGAGTTAGACAACGCCATCAGGGCCCGTTACATCGAGGGTGACGAGATGCAAATCACCTCCGCCCTGTCAAATTTGACGGGACGAGCAAAGACTTGGGCCTTAGGGCTCAATCTTCACGACTCAAACGTGTTTGAGTCGTCGGACCATCTTGAAGTCTCGGCTCAAAGAGACGTTTGAGCCGCCGAGAGCCGAGTTCAGAGCACGCTCTGCACTCTTGAGGCTAAAGCAAGGTAAGTGTGATGTGCAAGCTTACGCACAGCACCTGCGCTACCTTGCGAGTAGCGTCACGGAAAACCCTGTTGATGAGCACACGCTCATCAACGTGTTCATCTACGGCCTTGTAGATGGACCGATGAAGACCTACATGTTCCGAGAGTACTTCCATACGCTGGAAAGGGCGATAGCGTATGCGGAACAAGAAGACTTCAGCCTGAGACAGTCTCAGGCTAACTCGTCCAACTATCGTCCGACGAGGCGACAGGAAACAGGAGGTCCCGAACCATTGGACCTCTGTTATATAGAGAGCGAGAACTCTCTCTCTTTGAGTCACAAGCGAATGGCAAGATGCCATCGCTGTCAGAAGATTGGCCACTACGCTCTTGAGTGTAGTGTCCTGAGCACTGCAACACGTCCAAAGACAGGACGTGATGACCACCGTTGGCCGAAGAAAGGTCCAAGGCGTGTATCCGACCATGTCGCTAAACCATGACAGCAAGTTGGACCGTCAAAAAACGGACAGGGTCAGTAGGGGCGGAGCACCCTGCTGATCCAGCAACGTCAAGAGAATTTGCAGGACTCTTGACGAAGATTGTTACCAATACACAGTCGCTGTTTGTTACTACTGCCCTTAGTGATGAGGAGTCTCTAATCACTTTGAAGATCGAAGTGACAAGGGAATGTCACTTCGCGCCCTAGTTGACTGTGGTATTTCGAACAGTTTCATTCGACGCCAGTCGCTAAGGGATAGTAGTCTCAACTATGTTGAGCGAGAGTTCCCTCCAACGAGGATGACGGTGTGCCTTGCTACAGGCGCATCCGTAACAGTGAACAAACGTGTAGCGGGAATCCACTACACGCTAGAAGAAAAACAATACGATGCTGACTTTATCGTATTAAACTTGGATGAAAAATTTGCTGTCATCCTTGGTCTGCCATGGCTTAGAAAGTACCAGCCACGGGTTAGCTGGCAGCATCGATCCGTGAAGTTGCCTGCCGTTTGTTCATCGGATGGCCATCTGATGAACGTCTTGGAGCGTCCACAAGCGTGAGGATGTTCTACGAGTGAGTGCGATGGCCTCACTTGTGGTACGGTCGTTAGTACGATTGCACAAGATCACAGTGTAGAAGGCCACTACACTGTGTAACCAGCTTCCGGCACCTGTGTAGAGACACAGGCTGCGCCGAAGGTTTACCACTCGAAGAGATTGAGTGGACTGGAACACGGATGCACACCAAGAAGGGTTCATCCGAGAAGAGAGATTAGTGTTGTTCAGGATGAACAACACGTTGAAGCGAGATCGACTATCAGAGAGTCGATCGTAGAGCAAGCCCGCTCGACTAAAAGAGGGTCGATCAAAGAGGACGTGACCGTGATAGTACCCCCACAGTCAGTACACGTATTGGAAGAAAGTTCCAGCGTTCCTGAAAGTGATAACTCCCGAGAGAGTTACGTTGAGGGTGTGGATCCCGAACCACCTGCGGATGTGTTTTCCCAGCAAGTCACCGAGACACTGAATGTCTTGGTGAATGACGGATCAGTTGTAGGCGCTTATACACTTGATCTGGTTACGCCCCCGAAGTCAGCTTCGAAGGTGGTCAAGTTGTCAACGCTAGAATCTAAAAGATTCTTGCGAGATCTGCGTAGTGATAAGATCTAGCAGATCTGCGTACCCGTCACAGAGGACGAGTACGTCGCCGACATGTGGTCGGCACAAGTGTTTGCTGAGAACGAACGTGTTCTCAGTAGTTCATCTATGGACGAGAGTGTCCTCGATGAGAAGACCCGGATTGAGCGATACACGTCTCAAACAACCTTGGGAGTCTTTATAGACAAATCCTTTGTATAAGAATGTGATAGAATTCAGGGATGTTTTCCCGGAATCCGTGCCATGCAAGCTGCCCAAAGATAAAGGCACGCGGCATGAGATCGAACTGAAACCTGGTTAGAAATACTGTGTCATGAAGCAGTGGCCACTGCCTCGTGAACAGGTCACAGCGATCGATAAATTATTTGCCAATCGATTAGCGGCTGGTCATGTGAGGTAATCAACATCTCCACACAGCTCTCCGACCTTCAGTGTGCGAAAGGCCACTGGAGGGTGGCGGATAGTGCACGCGCTCAACAAATTGAATGCTGCAACTGTACCGGCTCAAATGCCGATTCCAAGAAAGGATGTCATCATAGATGGTATGGCAAAAAGTACCATCTTTTCATCCATGAATTTGATGGATGGATTCTATCGGATCCTCATGCGTGAACAGGAAACCCCTTACACAGCAGTGACTACCCCCAGTGGTATGCTCTGGGAGTGGCTAGTAATGCCACAGGGGTTAAGTAACGCCCACGCAACGTTTAACAGATGTTTAACGAATCTGTTGTAATCGGTGCGCGATTTCGCACCGAGTTACTTCGACGATGTCTTCGTCCAAAGCCGGGATATGGATGGAAATACGGACGTGGAGGTCCATAGAATCCACATCCGGAAGGTTCTTACTCGAATGCGAGAGCATAAGTTGTTCGCGAACCTCAAGAAGTGCATTTTCGCAGCGAACGATATACCACTTCTTGGCTGCATCGCGGGTAAAAACGGCGTACGCCTTTTTATTAATTTACGAAAATTGATTGATTTAAAAATTTGATTTTTAAGTGCATTAATTACACCTCCAGTGCATGACAAGGAATTCCTTGTCATGAAATATGCACTGGCCCAGTTTCAGGTATATCTCTTAGGAGATAGGCCCTTCATCGTTTGTACCGACCATGTGTCGTTACGCACAGCCGTAATCGGTCCACACCTCTTGCAACGAATGGCGAGGTGGCTGTCTTTCTTCGATGAGTACAACTTCTCCGTCGAGTTTAACTAGGACGGCTTAATTTTGTCGCTGATGCTCTTTCGCGTTGGCCCGATTTCGAGCCGATGCCCAACCCAACAGTAGGGGTGATCTCACTGTCGCGACACTATCAGTGAGCGTTCGGTCGTCGAATCCTCTAGATGACGTGCGAAAAGCATACGCAGAAGATGAGTCTCTTCTGCAGTTGATGGATTACGTATCCAATCCGTGTAATCAAGCTTTTAAAAGCTTGTCGTCTCAATACCGCTCTTCAACCGAACGGTATTCTGTCCGTGATGGACTACTGTACTATACAGGAGTCGACGGCGACACACCTCGTGTCGTCGTTCCGGCTCATAATGATTTGCGATTGTGCATAATGTATGAGTGTCACGATGCCCCAACAAGTGGGAATCGCGGTAGAGGAAAGACTTACCTCACGGTAAGTTGTGACTTCTACTGGCCCCGCCAGTATGAGTTTGTGTGCACGTACATCTGTGCTTACGAGGTTTGCCAACGGGTTCAGCCTAGTCCTTCATCCCGTGCACCCTTACAGCCTCTACTGATTCCGACCGAGTGTTGGCAGTCCGTATCGATGGACTTCGTCTTCGGGTTTCGCAGAGAAGTTCACAAGAATACTGGTATTCTTTTGTTTGTTGATTGGTTCAGCAAGATGGTACATCTTGTTGCTGTACCGGAGTCAATCACAGCCCATGGCTGTGCGCGTGTCTTCATCGATACTATCTTCCGATTTCACGGGTTACCATGTGAACTCGGTCCGATAGGGACCCCCGCTTCACAGCGGAGTTCTGGCAATCCGTGTTCCGTTCACTTGGAACACGTTTGACGATGTCAACTTCTGACCATCCCGAAACAGATGGTCAGACGGAAAGCGTCAACCGTGTCCTCGAAGAGATAATTCGAGGGTATGTCCACTCGTTTACGAGCTGGAGTGAGTTCTTGTCGATGGCGGAATTCGCCATAAACAACTCGGTGCACGCGCCGACAACGCATACACCGTTCTTCGTGAATGGCCTACGCCAGCCACGTTTACCCGCCTTCTTAGGGTGTGACTCTAGTTTAAGGGGTGGGGGGTAGACTCGCTCGAACAAAGACCGATCTGGTTCTTGCTCATCACCCTTCGACAATGGTGTCGACGTGATGGATGACGATGTCGATGGGATCCGATGTCGATGTCGATGTCGATGATGATGAGGACGACGTTGCTGGCATATTCAGCATCGCCACTGACTGCCAAAGTGAGGACGATGACACCCTCACTGGTGAAGACTGCGTTCTTTCAGCAGTGCACACGAAGCGCACTGCTGATGACAAGGATGAATCAGCAGAGGAATTTCTGCTGACTCACGAAGCGGCTGTCCGCTTCGTTCAAGACTCTATCGCAGATGCATTAGCAGACAGAAGAGAAATGCAGACAAATATGGAAGAGAGATTGTTCTTTCATTTGATATAGGAGGCTTATTTTTACTGTCTACAGTAAACTTACCGAAGCACGCAGTGACAAACGTGGGCAGCAGTAAATTACTGCCCAGGTACATCGGTCCATTTCGTGTGTTGCGCCGAATGGGTAACGCATACACGATTGAACTGCCCCGTAAGATGCGCACGCATCCTACGTTTTACGTTGGACGTCTCCGCCAGTAAAATTAGTACGATCCCGTTTTGAGAGGCGAAGAACACGTCCACGGTCAAGGGCCAAGACCCCTTCGAGTGGTCCCGTTTCAACGAGCTAATCTGGTCGACTAGCGAAGCGACCTGTTCACGCAGTTGAGCGATGTCTCGACGAGCTACATCCATCTCGTCACGAAAAAGAACGAGTCGAACGTTCGTTCTCAAGTTGCGCGAACGCGAAAGCGGCACGGTCGTCCGAACGATCGTGCGTTAGGGAATAATAATTATTCCTCACAAGATCCTCAAGCACATAACGCCGAGTCCGTTCGTGATTCAGGTAATCTTGCAACGGTTCCGTTACACGGTTCAGCTCTTGAACATCAAGCTGATACGACCCTCGAGCCATATCTCGTGTTCCCGCCACCACCACGTCCTTTGGTGGGCTCAAGCGGTGTTCAACGCTTCCTAGTGGAGCGTATTTTAAACCACCGCGATGTGAATGGCGTCCGGACGAGTTACCTCGTCCGCTGGCGTGGCTATCCACCGGCGTAGGACGGCTGGAAGCCTCGTGCCGAGCTGATTGTTGATGTCCTTGGTCTCGTCGAGCAGTACGACGAGACCCACCCGCTGTGTTCGAAGAAGGGCCGTCGGAAAACGACCTCCCCGAACGCGAGTACGTGGATTGCAAGTTGTCAATCCCTTCGGCCATCTCGGAAGAGATGCGCGCCCTCCAGTAGGGATCATTAGGGATGTATGCCTCCCTAGGGACACGGTTCGAGCTGTCCAGGCAACCTGGACACTAATCACCCCACAAGAGACAGGGTAATCCTGCCTCTCTTGAAAGCCGGTGCAACTTGTATCGCTCCCCGACTGGGTTGCGTTTCTCAAACCTTATGCGAGCTGCATTAAGTTTGGCGAGCCAAGTCTCACGGCCAATACACTCGATGTTGTGGATGAGGGCGTTCCATCCTTGCACCAAGGCTTTTCCGTCTCGTACACGGCTACCATTGTACCACCGATGTTTGAAAAACGCATCGGTGAAGAATTCTTCCTCAGAACGGATAGTTTCCGTGCTGGAATCAGGTGGCAAATCTTCCTGTAACCGAACAACGGGATTCGATCCTGTTCGGTAGCTGTGTCGGCCAACCGGTCCAACCCTCTGGATGGCGGCATCCACGGAGACTCCACTTGAGGAGCGTGGCGCAGGGCATTTCGGTCCCTGGCATTTTTGATTGGTGCCAGCACGAGCACTGGCACCAGTGTAACCCCGATCCCTTGAGTTACTTCGCTCGTGGTGATGCATCGGTGCATCACCACCATCATCATGCGTCCTATCATTGGATGGACTTGCGTGAGGCGGAGACTCATCGGAATGGTTACTCGATCCAAAGATCTTGGTCATGATACCGCCGCGTTGACCAGAGCCAGTCAGTCTGGCTTTTGCAGCGTCCGCCTTGGGTGTTCCCGAGGCGTGAGAAGTCGCCTTCGAGTCGGACGCGTCATCCGACTTGCCGGAATAGATGAGCTCTATCTCAGACTCGTCTTAATTACGATTCGAGGTACCTGCTGCAGACGCAACGGATGTACCTGTCGCACGTGGTGACTCACCACATGGAGGATTCACGACAACTGGCGACGAATCGTCTGCTGCTGAGGCGTGAGAGGCACTTTCCGCGGCCGCACGCATGAGTGCAGCCGCCTTTCTTGCTGCTGCAGTAGCAGCTCACGTGGTTTTCGAAATCATGCGTTGAATTGGCAAATGAATGGAGTTTGACCAACAAGTGCTCCCTTTCCCAGAGTGATCCAACGGTGGTCACCCTGTCCCAATCAATTTTAATTAATCAACGGGTGATTGATGGTAAGGGGGGTGATGTAACGGGGTAGCCCGTTACATGAAATTGACACCAAACGGTGTCAATAGGAATATTGTCTAGCATGACAATATTCAACCGATATTATCCGAGATGGATAATATCGAAGGAATATTATCCCGTTTTGGATAATTTTCACGCGCTACTCGAAGATTGGTTGATAAATGACATGTCACCATAGATGCCACCAATCGCTGCTAGACGCGCGCAATAAGTGGTGAGCAGGTTGTCGTCATACGACGGCGTAGTTTAATATAGTCAGATAAATATTAAAGTTATATTGATAGCTTAACTACAAAAATACAGTTCTCTTTTTACCTTTACTTGACTTGTTGACCGAGTCGATCAAGTAGATAGCTTACTCTGCACGTACTAGTGTACGTGAAGTTTTGCGGCACCCCAAACAAAAGGGTGCCCCGTTACAGTAAGTGATTTTACCATTCTATATCGCATCTGCAAAATGGCGGTTGCTTTGGTCGAAAACCACCGTTGAGCATGCAAACAGCCCATAGTCCTCACCACCTGTTGTGGGATAAAAATGTATCCAAATCGGTCAGAACAAATGAGCAACTAGCAATCGCGCGTTTGTAGTACTTTGCAAATTAGACTTTAACGACGTCATCTCGTCGCGTTTTGCTCTAGTAATCCAAATATCGACTAGACAAAGGAATCGACAGAACGCGAATTATGTGTTAAGACTCTTCGGATCAAGAAACTTTCACGAAAATCGGATGATGGAGATCGCACACTTATCGTGTAGCTGGACAAATAATCTTTTATAGCAGACAATGAATGATTCTTACGCATATCCGGGATAGGCTCACTCAAAAATCATCTAAAATTCTTTTTGCAATCCACCGTAGTGTAAGGTACTTCCATATGCGACGTATGCATCCGATTGCGTTTGGTGAAACGTGAACCCTTGTATCATTCTTTTTCGTGTCTCTCTCGACTAGAACAGGTCTGTTGCCAATTCTTACACGAAATGCATAGCCATTTAGATGTATCCGACATGTAGTGTCGAGTGCGTTGTGGCCGTTTATCAAGTCATCTGCATAATTAAAACGTTTCAATCGTCTTCTGTGTGCTAGAGAAGTTTGCTTGATGATTAATTTATCATTTGCACGACAGATGTAGATTGCTTTGCGATAGTGGTCGTGTGAAGGCAGGTAGGCGCAATATATGTCATACAAAACGTTTGGTGTGGGACGGGTGTAATGTACGGGGTGTCTTTAGTAAATTAAGGAGTTTATTTAGCAATACGCTAAAATATATTCGATATAGTGAAAGATTGGGGAAAATTTATCCGATTTAGCTATTCAAAAAATTACTGCATCATGACGATAAATCACATATAATAAATATTAAGCTCAGTACATTTAGGGAAATCGTTTAAGGCTTGTTTACAAAATTACGGAATTGGACGTCCATTTCAAATAATATTTTTAGTGACAAATGCACATCTTAAAAAAAGTTTCGCTTTACAACTATTCCGTATCAGGCAATAGTCCAGCCGTCATCCCCGTAGGAAGATGTACCTATCAAGAGCGAATCAAAAGAGGAGGGGGCTGCCGACAACGTGCTGATGAGGCCTTTTTAATTTGTATACTCAGTCACGATCGATCAAGCTGGCGATCGATGGTCGTATGAATATCGGCAAATCGACATTGCTCAACAAGATTGTGCGTAACGATCGCTCTCTTACTGGTCATAAGTATGTATTAAAGAATTGACTTGGCTTCGTTTAGCTACAAGATGACGTTAATCGTCACCTTTTTTCAGGCCATGCGTGAGGCATGATTTTTCTTTAAAGTGCCATGGATACTTTACAAGAATCCTATCAAGATCGTAATAGCAACAGGTACGCGGCGAAATGGTATGCGGTATTACGTCGACTATTGACAACCTGTCAGTGCGTGATAATTTTTTCCCGTTCAACGGACTCGTCCCAGGTCGTGATCGCTGTCGTGGATGTTTGCGAGCCTGAGCTGATTCACATCAACCTAATTATTGCACAGCGTGTAATTGAAGAGGGATGTACGTTGATGCTAGCAATCAATAAAAGTGACCTTGCAGGCGTGGGCCTCAACTTCGAAATGCAAATTTTCGAAACGAATTGCAATAATCGCTATTAAAGGGCGCGTTGCTTCTGTGAAAAAAATATCCACGATACAGAAACTGAATTTAAGGCATTAGTGCCGGATGTGAGTAGGCGTACGAGAAATATGTGTGAGCACTAGTCTTTTATTTAAATGACTCGTATCCATCGGAAAACACCATCCGCCTCCAAGGTCAAGGTCAGGATGCTAAAAAATTAGTGCGCGACTCAAGTAAAGTCTCTATTGCCTACTTAGTAGTGCTTATGAGCAAATATGAGCCTGCGGACGGTTACTTAAGTCAAAAGTGCGTACATACAACAAATTTAAGGCGTGTATTTTACAACCTTCATTGCTTATAGATATTTAAACAGGGAATTGTTTAATGCACGCCTTAAAATAGTCAAATTGAGGGTTCAAATTCTCTAATGTATTATTTATCTTAGTTTCTCTATCTTTCATTGTCAACCGGTTTATCTTGTAGCCTTGACCACCTTTTCCGTACCAGTATCTTCTTGCATAAGACGAAAAAGATTGGATCTTTTACTTGTTTAAATCAACGAGTCCGCTTGCCATGTGATTGACGACAAGGCTTTCGCCTGATACACAAGCGCTGACAGGTAAACCTTTTGGTGTCAAAGGTCGTGCATTTATCAGCATTTTTTTAATTGTTAGGCGTCCATTCATTAATTGTGTGGACGTCATCTTACAACAATTATTATTAATTTAAAATGTCGTTCATCCGGATTTTGTTTGGACGTGCATATAACAATTCCACATGCATATATATGTGGTGGGAAAGGCCTCATTCAGTATCGAAAACAATAAACCTGATTTAGATAGACACTCAAGAAAAAATCAGGTCTTATACTTGAGTTAACTTGATTCACACTAAAATTATATTTTAAATATTCTCAATTTCCTTTGACGGGCCATGCTTAATCCCTACCTCGCAGGAGTATCCGTGGAAGGGGTTCTGCCGTGAAGGTGCTGCGCTTGCAGCCATCAGTTACGGACAAAGACACCACAAGAAAGATGTGAACGCGTCTATGTATTGACGGAAGCGGCCATAGATGCAGACAATCGGTGCTGATCTTGTGTCAATATTGTAATGTTTTACTGTATAACTTCTGTTAAGTATCGTATTCGCTTAAGTTGCAGCAGTTTTATTGCTACTGTCGTCGATTTTGGAGGTGTCGTCGCTGTTACAGCTGTGCCTCTAGCCATAGTTGGGAGTATTGCCTGGAAATATGTGTGTTTTTCTCATTGCTTTTGATACTTCTATTTACCGGGGACCCTTTGTCTAGGAGCCACGAAACTTCACGTACACTAGTACGTGCAGAGTAAGCTATCTACTTGAACGACTCGGTCAACAAGTCAAGTAAAGGTAAAAAGAGAACTGTATTTTTGTAGTTAAGCTATCAATGTAACTTTAATCTTTATCTAGCTATATTAAACTACGCCGTCGTATGACGACAACCTGCTCACCACTTATTGCGCGCGTCTAGCAGCGATTGGTGGCAATCTATGGTGACATGTCATTTATCAACCAATCTTCGAGTAGCGCGTGAAAATTATCCAAAACGGGATAATATTCCTTCGATATTATCCATCTCGGATATTATCGGTAGAATATTGTCATGCTAGACAATATTCCTATTGACACCGTTTGGTGTCAATTTCATGTAACGGGCTACCCCGTTACATCACCCCCCTTACCATCAATCACCCGTTGATTAATTAAAATTGATTGGGACAGGGTGACCACCGTTGGATCACTCTGGGAAAGGGAGCACTTGTTGGTCAAACTCCATTCATTTGCCAATTCAACGCATGATTTCGAAAACCACGTGAGCTGCTACTGCAGCAGCAAGAAAGGCGGCTGCACTCATGCGTGCGGCCGCGGAAAGTGCCTCTCACGCCTCAGCAGCAGACGATTCGTCGCCAGTTGTCGTGAATCCTCCATGTGGTGAGTCACCACGTGCGACAGGTACATCCGTTGCGTCTGCAGCAGGTACCTCGAATCGTAATTAAGACGAGTCTGAGATAGAGCTCATCTATTCCGGCAAGTCGGATGACGCGTCCGACTCGAAGGCGACTTCTCACGCCTCGGGAACACCCAGGGCGGACGCTGCAAAAGCCAGACTGACTGGCTCTGGTCAACGCGGCGGTATCATGACCAAGATCTTTGGATCGAGTAACCATTCCGATGAGTCTCCGCCTCACGCAAGTCCATCCAATGATAGGACGCATGATGATGGTGGTGATGCACCGATGCATCACCACGAGCGAAGTAACTCAAGGGATCGGGGTTACACTGGTGCCAGTGCTCGTGCTGGCACCAATCAAAAATGCCAGGGACCGAAATGCCCTGCGCCACGCTCCTCAAGTGGAGTCTCCGTGGATGCCGCCATCCAGAGGGTTGGACCGGTTGGCCGACACAGCTACCGAACAGGATCGAATCCCGTTGTTCGGTTACAGGAAGATTTGCCACCTGATTCCAGCACGGAAACTATCCGTTCTGAGGAAGAATTCTTCACCGATGCGTTTTTCAAACATCGGTGGTACAATGGTAGCCGTGTACGAGACGGAAAAGCCTTGGTGCAAGGATGGAACGCCCTCATCCACAACATCGAGTGTATTGGCCGTGAGACTTGGCTCGCCAAACTTAATGCAGCTCGCATAAGGTTTTAGAAACGCAACCCAGTCGGGGAGCGATACAAGTTGCACCGGCTTTCAAGAGAGGCAGGATTACCCTGTCTCTTGTGGGGTGATTAGTGTCCAGGTTGCCTGGACAACTCGAACCGTGTCCCTAGGGAGGCATACATCCCTAATGATCCCTACTGGAGGGCGCGCATCTCTTCCGAGATGGCCGAAGGGATTGACAACTTGCAATCCATGTACTCGCGTTCGGGGAGGTCGTTTTCCGACGGCCCTTCTTCGAACACAGCGGGTGGGTCTCGTCGTACTGCTCGACGAGACCAAGGACATCAACAATCAGCTCGGCACGAGGCTTCCAGCCGTCCTACGCCGGTGGATAGCCACGCCAGCGGACGAGGTAACTCGTCCGGACGCCATTCACATCGCGGTGGTTTAAAATACGCTCCACTAGGAAGCGTTGAACACCGCTTGAGCCCACCAAAGGATGTGGTGGTGGCGGGAACACGAGATATGGCTCGAGGGTCGTATCAGCTTGATGTTCAAGAGCTGAACCGTGTAACGGAACCGTTGCAAGATTACCTGAATCACGAACGGACTCGGCGTTATGTGCTTGAGGATCTTGTGAGGAATAATTATTATTCCCTAACGCACGATCGTTCGGACGACCGTGCCGCTTTCGCGTTCGCGCAACTTGAGAACGAACGTTCGACTCGTTCTTTTCGTGACGAGATGGATGTAGCTCGTCGAGACATCGCTCAACTGCGTGAACAGGTCGCTTCGCTAGTCGACCAGATTAGCTCGTTGAAACGGGACCACTCGAAGGGGTCTTGGCCCTTGACCGTGGACGTGTTCTTCGCCTCTCAAAACGGGATCGTACTAATTTTACTGGCGGAGACGTCCAACGTAAAACGTAGGATGCGTGCGCATCTTACGGGGCAGTTCAATCGTGTATGCGTTACCCATTCGGCGCAACACACGAAATGGACCGATGTACCTGGGCAGTAATTTACTGCTGCCCACGTTTGTCACTGCGTGCTTCGGTAAGTTTACTGTAGACAGTAAAAATAAGCCTCCTATATCAAATGAAAGAACAATCTCTCTTCCATATTTGTCTGCATTTCTCTTCTGTCTGCTAATGCATCTGCGATAGAGTCTTGAACGAAGCGGACAGCCGCTTCGTGAGTCAGCAGAAATTCCTCTGCTGATTCATCCTTGTCATCAGCAGTGCGCTTCGTGTGCACTGCTGAAAGAACGCAGTCTTCACCAGTGAGGGTGTCATCGTCCTCACTTTGGCAGTCAGTGGCGATGCTGAATATGCCAGCATCGTCGTCATCATCATCATCGACATCGATCCCATCGACATCGGCATCCATCACGTCGACACCATTGTCGACGGGTGATGAGCAAGAACCAGATCGGTCTTTGTTCGAGCGAGTCTACCCCCCACCCCTTAAACTAGAGTCACACTCTAAGAAGGCGGGTAAACGTGGATGGCGTAGGCCATTCACGAAGAACGGTGTATGCGTTGTCGGCGCGTGCACCGAGTTGTTTATGGCGAATTCCGCCATCGACAAGAACTCACTCCAGCTCGTAAACGAGTGGACATACCCTCGAATTATCTCTTCGAGGACACGGTTGACGCTTTCCGTCTGACCATCTGTTTCGGGATGGTCAGAAGTTGACATCGTCAAACGTGTTCCAAGTGAACGGAACACGGATTGCCAGAACTCCGCTGTGAAGCGGGGGTCCCTATCGAACCGAGTTCACATGGTAACCCGTGAAATCGGAAGATAGTATCGATGAAGACACGCACACAGCCCTGGGCTGTGATTGACCCCGGTACAGCAACAAGATGTACCATCTTGCTGAACCAATCAACAAACAAAAGAATACCAGTATTCTTGTGAACTTCTTTGCGAAACCCGAAGACGAAGTCCATCGATACGGACTGCCAACACTCGGTCGGAATCAGTAGAGGCTGTAAGGGTGCACGGGATGAAGGACTAGGCTGAACCCGTTGGCAAACCTCGTAAGCACAGATGTACGTGCACACAAACTCATACTGGCGGGGCCAGTAGAAGTCACAACTTACCGTGAGGTAAGTCTTTCCTCTACCGCGATTCCCACTTGTTGGGGCATCGTGACACTCATACATTATGCGCAATCGCAAATCATCATGAGCCGGAACGACGACACGAGGTGTGTCGCCGTCGACTCCTGTATAGTACAGTAGTCCATCACGGACAGAATACCGTTCGGTTGAAGAGCGGTATTGAGACGACAAGCTTTTAAAAGCTTGATTACACGGATTGGATACGTAATCCATCAACTGCAGAAGAGACTCATCTTCTGCGTATGCTTTTCGCACGTCATCTAGAGGATTCGACGACCGAACGCTCACTGATAGTGTCGCGACAGTGAGATCACCCCTACTGTTGGGTTGGGCAGTCGGCTCGAAATCGGGCCGACGCGAAAGAGCATCAGCGACAAAATTAAGCCGTCCTAGTTAAACTCGACGGAGAAGTTGTACTCATCGAAGAAAGACAGCCACCTCGCCATTCGTTGCAAGAGGTGTGGACCGATTACGGCTGTGCGTAACGACACATGGTCGGTACAAACGATGAAGGGCCTATCTCCGAAGAGATATACCTGAAACTGGGCCAGTGCATATTTCATGACAAGGAATTCCTTGTCATGCACCGAATGATTTTGCTCACCTGCTTGCAGCTGACGCGATTGATAAGAGACGACGCGCTCAACGCTGTCGGAATTGTACTGCATTAACGCTCAGCAGATTGCAAAATTGCTGGCGTCACAGACTACACGGATTTGTCTGCCCTGGTCTGCAATCGCCATCACAAGCTATTAAACCAAGCTTTTCTTGATGCCTTCGAAGGAGTGCTGACACTCAGCGCTCCATGACCACCTCTCGTTTTTCTGTAGCAGACGAGAGAGATGAACGGTCACCTCGGCGTAGTTGCGCGAGTATTTAATCATGTACGCCGCCAAGCCAAGAAACTTTCGAAGTCCCATGACGTCGACGGCCACAGCCCAGTCGCTAATCGCCTCGATATTTTCTGGAACTAAGAAAATTAAAAAGAAATAAATATTTCTGGAGGTGTAATTAATGCACTTAAAAATCAAATTTTTAAATCAATCAATTTTCGTAAATTAATAAAAAGGCGTACGCTGTTTTTACCCGCGATGCAGCCAAGAAGTGGTATATCGTTCGCTGCGAAAATGCACTTCTTGAGGTTCGCGAACAACTTATGCTCTCGCATTCGAGTAAGAACCTTCCGGACGTGGATTCTATGGACCTCCACGTCCGTATTTCCATCCATATCCCGGCTTTGGACGAAGACATCGTCGAAGTAACTCGGTGCGAAATCGCGCACCGATTACAACAGATTCGTTAAACATCTGTTAAACGTTGCGTGGGCGTTACTTAACCCCTGTGGCATTACTAGCCACTCCCAGAGCATACCACTGGGGGTAGTCACTGCTGTGTAAGGGGTTTCCTGTTCACGCATGAGGATCCGATAGAATCCATCCATCAAATTCATGGATGAAAAGATGGTACTTTTTGCCATACCATCTATGATGACATCCTTTCTTGGAATCGGCATTTGAGCCGGTACCGTTGCAGCATTCAATTTGTTGAGCGCGTGCACTATCCGCCACCCTCCAGTGGCCTTTCGCACACTGAAGGTCGGAGAGCTGTGTGGATATGTTGATTCCCTCACATGACCAGCCGCTAATCGATTGGCAAATAATTTATCGATCGCTGTGACCTGTTCACGAGGCAGTGGCCACTGCTTCATGACACAGTATTTCTAACCAGGTTTCAGTTCGATCTCATGCCGCGTGCCTTTATCTTTGGGCAGCTTGCATGGCACGGATTCCGGGAAAACGTCCCTGAATTCTATCACATTCTTATACAAAGGATTTGTCTATAAAGACTCCCAAGGTTGTTTGAGACGTGTATCGCTCAATCCGGGTCTTCTCATCGATGACACTATCGTCCATAGATGAACTACTGAGAACACGTTCGTTCTCAGCAAACACTTGTGCCGACCAAATGTCGGCGACAAACTCGTCCTCTGTGACGGGTACGCAGATCTGCTAGATCTTATCACTACGCAGATCTCGCAAGAATCTTTTAGATTCTAGCGTTGACAACTTGACCACCTCCGAAGCTGACTTCGGGGGCGTAACCAGATCAAGTGTACAAGCGCCTACACTTGAGCCGTCATTCACCAAGACATTCAGTGTCTCGGTGACTTGCTGGGAAAACGCATCCGCAGGTGGTTCGGGATCCACACCCTCAACGTAACTCTCTCGGGAGTTATCACTATCAGGAACGCTGGAACTTTCTTCCAATACGTGTACTGACTGTGGGGGTACTATCACGGTCACGTCCTCTTTGATCGACCCTCTTTTAGTCGAGCGGGCTTGCTCTACGATCGACTCTCTGATAGTCGATCTCGCTTCAACGTGTTGTTTATCCTGAACAACACCAGTCTCTCTTCTCGGATAAACCCTTCTTGGTGTGCATCCGCGTTCCAGTCCACTCAATCTCTTCGAGTGGTAAACCTTCGGCGCAGCCTGTGTCTCTACACAGGTGCCGGAAGCTGGTTCCACAGTGTAGTGGCCTTCTACACTGTGATCTCGTGCAATCGTACTAACGACCGTACCACGAGTGAGGCCATCGCACTCACTCGTAGTACATCCACACGCTTGTGGACGCTCCAAGACGTTCATCAGATGGCCATTCGATGAACAAACGGCAGGCAACTTCACGGATCGATGCTGCCAGCTAATCCATGGCTGGTACTTTCTAAGCCATGGCAGACAAAGGATGACAGCAAATTTGTCATCCAAATTTAATACGATAAAGTCAGCATCGTATTGTTTTTCTTCTAGCGTGTAGTGGATTCCCGCTACACGTTTGTTCACTGTTACGGATGCGCCTGTAGCAAGGCACACCGTCATCCTCGTTGGAGGGAACTCTCGCTCAACATAGTTGAGACTACTATCCCTTAGCGACTGGCGTCGAATGAAACTGTTCGAAATACCACAGTCAACTAGGGCGCGAAGTGACATTCCCTTGTCACTTCGATCTTCAAAGTGATGAGAGACACCTTATCACTAGGGGCAGTAGTAACAAACAGCGACTGTGTATTGGTAACAATCTTCGTCAAGAGTCCTGCTAATTTCTCTTGACGTTGCTGGATCAGCAGGGTGCTCCGCCCCTACTGACCCTGTCCGTTTTTTGACGGTCCAACTTGCTGTCATGGTTTAGCGACATGGTCGGATACACGCCTTGGACCTTTCTTCGGCCAACGGTGGTCATCACGTCCTGTCTTTGGACGTGTTGCAGTGCTCAGGACACTACACTCAAGATCGTAGTGGCCAATCTTCTGACAGCGATGGCATCTTGCCATTCGCTTGTGACTCAAAGAGCGAGAGTTCTCGCTCTCTATATAACAGAGGTCCAATGGTTCGGGACCTCCTGTTTCCTGTCGCCTCGTCGGATGATAGTTGGACGAGTTAGCCTGAGACTGTCTCAGGCTGAAGTCTTCTTGTTCCGCATACGCTATCGCCCTTTCCAGCGTATGGAAGTCCTCTCGGAACATGTAGGTCTTCATCGGTCCATCTACAAGGCCGTAGATGAACACGTTGATGAGCGTGTGCTCATCAACAGGGTTTTCCGTGACGCTACTCGCAAGGTAGCGCAGGTGCTGTGCGTAAGCTTGCACATCACACTTACCTTGCTTTAGCCTCAAGAGTGCAGATCGTGCTCTGAACTCGGCTCTCGGCGGCTCAAACGTCTCTTTGAGCCGAGACTTCAAGATGGTCCGACGACTCAAACACGTTTGAGTCGTGAAGATTGAGCCCTAAGGCCCAAGTCTTTGCTCGTCCCGTCAAATTTGACAGGGCGAAGGTGATTTGCATCTCGTCACCCTCGATGTAACGGGCCCTGATGGCGTTGTCTAACTCGACGAATCATCTCAAAAGGGAATCTTGATCGGTTCCCTTGTACCTTGAGATGTCTATCTTCAAGATTTCGGGTCGACGCATGTGCGTCGGCCCGCACATCGGCTGACGAGAGCCTTGCTGCTGTAGCAAGGCTATCTTCTGTCGTTCGACGGCAAGTTCCCCTTATAGGAACTTGTTGATAGCAGCATGTTGCTGGTCTCTGCTTAGAGACTCCAACATACCACTGATGGCGGTTTCGCCCATGAGCACACTCATACGACCGACTACCTTCCATTCTGAGTCACTCAGATGGGAGTAGCCTACACGTGTGACGTGAAAGCTGTCGTCTTCTACGTTCAACATGTTCATGTTGGACGGGCACTAAGCAGTCGTTGGACGGACTACGAAGTGCTACCAGGTGTAACGGGGCACCCTTTTGTTTGGGGTGCCGCAAAACTTCACGTACACTAGTACGAGCAGAGGGAGCTAAACTATTGAAAGACGCGAGTTTGAGTAAAGGGTAAAAAGAGAACTGTATTTTTGTAGTTAAGCTATCAATATAACTTTAATATTTATCTGAGCTATATTAAACTACGCCGTCGTATGACGACAACCTGCTCACCACTCATTGCGCGCGTCTAGCAGCGATTGGTGGCAATCTATGGTGACATGTCATTTATCAACCAATCTTCGAGTAGCGCGTGAAAATTATCCAAAACGGGATAATATTCTTTCGATACTATCCATCTCGGATAATATCGGTAGAATATTGTCATGCTAGACAATATTCCTATTGACACCGTTTGGTGTCAATTTCATGTAACGGGCTACCCCATGACACTTCTGCTGCTTACGTTGGTGTTGTTGCTGGTGTGTGTTTTGTTCCCGCTGTTTTTTTGTCCTTTTACTACTGTTCTGTGGTGTTGTTGGTACTATAGTGCTGCCTTTGTCGTTGTTTTATTGTAGTAAATGATATCATTACCTGATCTTATGATATCGCAACTTTTGCTCTTAACAATTTATTAGACTTTCAGGGATTCATTCTACCTGTTTAAATTTTTTTTTAATCTTAAGTGCTTTTTCAGTGCAGATGGTAGCACTTGGTGCCAATGCATTGTTAGTCGGTGCTGTTTGAATAAATACCAAGTACAGCAAGCTAGAAATGCAGAGTTCAAGAGGTCATGAAAACATACACAAGACGTTGATTTGGTCGAAGTGTTAATACACTCCAGCGTACATGTTATAACTGATGTTTTTTTAATAATACCCTTAAAAAGTGCAATACGGCATTTAACAAGTTTTTTTTAGTCTGGATCCGCTAGCACTTTAAATGTGGCCCTCTTACGGTGATGTACGATACCACACACCCTGCTGCGTTGTTTTGGTGCGCTGTATGATTTTAAAGAAATGCAGAAGAAGTAAAGCAGTAGTACTTAGTGGCGCTTTTGAATGATCAAGGACCTACGCACCCGCTAGATTCGACCTGAATTGTTTTCTGCGGCATCTATTTTTGATTGCTTCTGGAAGTTGCAATCGTTTAGTTACGTAATGTAGCCTAAATTCGTAAGCGTAGCATAAATTAAATCTGTTCCGGTGAATATCCAAGTTTACGTAATTAAGGACTCATCTGTTTCAGTAATTAGGACGTATCTGCAATATACGCGTTCATGGTGATTTGATTATTTTAATTTATTATGTAGCCACGATAATGGTGTGTGTGGACCACTTAAGTCAAGTAGACTAATGAAGGGACCGATTCGGACCAATTTTAATTGGGTCGACCCGGTGCTTGACCCGGCTGGTCCGGGTACTGAGTCAAGGTCTGGCCCGGACCAGTACATGTTAGTCTCTAAAAACAAAATTTTATTCTGCCATAGCAAAATTCCAAAAAGCAAATTCTTAGCTGCTTGGTGCGCTGTGTTAACCTTTGTTTCCCAAATTTAGCACCTGTTTCACTCATCGGGGAGGCTTGTGTGGGTCTCTTCTGAATACTGGTCAGCACTTTTTTAATTTTCATAGATACACGCGTATCAAATTACTTGATAGACGCCTTATGAAACTAAAAGGCGTGCAAAACGTTTAATATTTTTATTGCGCACCCTCTATCGATGCGTTTTCGCTCATCCACGCTTGCGTACCAGGAGATACTCTTCTTTTCATCTGCACAGGACTATATACGTTGCGAGAGCCACTATGAATTGAGGGCTGCCAGTAATTTGCTGATGAGTCTTTCAGTACTCGTGTCCAGACGCCAAATTTAGAGCTGGCGATTTCTAGTCATTCGAAAGTCGCCAGGCATCTCAACAAGATTGCGTGCCACAAGCGCGCTCTTTCTTCTCCTGGCCATGTTACAAGCAAAGGAGATGGGGTTTGAAAAGCAAGTGGACAGTGCAAGCAGCGAAGAACAAAGTGGGATTTCGTGCTTTAAGCTCTGTCAAAGCGAATGGATTACGCTCAAGTCAGAGCCGTGATTCATGTGCGAGACAGAGTTACCGCAGCTTTCAAGGCATGTCATTTTTGTAAACAACGCCTCGAATCTTGACTAAGAAAAACGATTTCCAGGATATAGTGAATAATTCCTCAATGTGTTATCGGATCCCACGTAATGGTGAAGGCAAAACGAGGGATGTGCATCTGCTCACATCGCGGCTCGCTCAACTCGTTTTTATCTTGGCCATTTATGCGCGTAATTGTTGAAGCACCACAACCGCATGAAACGATGGAATCACATAAAGTAATTGTGATAAGGATATTGTACGATTACGTAAAGAAAACAGTGCTGTTCGATTAACGTTTACCGACTTCGGCAAAGTGATGCACATTTAAGAGGATGTTGTAACCTAACTTATAGGTGAGACGGTGTCGCTGTCGCTCTTGTCAGTGATAATATTTCCGAAGTAGATTGTTGCTGGATCAAAGCGGATAGAAGCTTTATAGTCGACGGTCGTACAGGTGTAGTCGATCTTAACCAAGTCCTGTTTAAAAATCTACCAACAGCAATTGCTTTGTTTGCAAAAAGATGCGATGCTGATGCAGTTGTACCTTAACTCGATGGCGTTGTTTCAAGCAAGTCACGCTATAAAAGAGCAATTGGTAGAGGGGTTACACGTAGTTAAGTACCTGGTACCCTGTGTGTCAGACACACGGATGTTATCCCATTGATAGAGATGTAGAATATTTTATCGGTTTATAGGGGATGACTGGTGTCAGCCACCGGGTAAGAGAGATCTTAGTTGTACGAACCGAGAACATAAGTGTCTAGATAAGGTGATATTAGGATTAAGATACTCTGTAGGTTTAAATGTAAATAAAATTCAGCTCCCCTTTTGATCTTAAAGACACGTGACTTGCGAGGCGTCTTTGGTCGTTCATCATTGATCACTAAGAGTTAGCAACACCTCCTTGAGGTAGCTAGTTACTCTTGACCACTAAGTGCTGTCGATACACTGAATCTTTCGGTCCACTGGAACAGGGACCAAAAGCTTTACGCTTGTTGACTCATTGAGTCTAGTTCCTTAAAGCTAAGCTGCTCGTTGAGCGTTAAGTCTTCCTCTGACTGAAGGAGCTATGTAGCTCCGCTACACTTGGTAGCACTCGTAGTCAATCTACGCCTGAGTCCATTAAGACCGATCCTCTGCGAGGATGGAAAACCCCACTCCCTTCTCTGAGGCCCCGAAGGTCGTGCTTGATAAGCTGACCGCATCTTTGGTTCCAGAGTACGTGGAGTTCCTTGTTTCACAAGACCCTGAGGTGCTTAGTGCACGTGTTCAAGGCTTTATGCAGTATGAAGCGACCCTTCCAGGGCATGTCCAAGACCAAGTAGCTTCGGCTGTGCCTACACGCTATGTGTCTGTCCCAGACGAAGATGCTGGGCCTCTTCCACTTTGAGTGGAAGTTAACAAATACTCCGGTAAGGATAGTGAATCCCCATCCTCTGGATCCGTGAGATTGAAATGGCCATATAATCAGGCCTGATCAAGCTTGACCATTAAAAGGTCTCGCTCTCTATTTTAAAGCTCGATGGAAGAGCTAGAGAATGGGCTTTGACTTGTGGCACGTCAGTTGACTTAGCATTTCCCACATAAGATTCGCTAAAGTCACAGTTTAAAAATATAAATAAAATAAAGGTGTTTTCACCAGCTGACCAAGCTTACCGCATGCTTTCACGCTTTTAACTACCCTTCAGGGTAAGAATGACTTATCGAACTATATCCAAGAGTTTAGAACTCTCATGGCTACATGCAGTCTGATTCTCTGCCTGCGACAGTTCACGTGACTATGTACATGGAAGGTCTTCGTACTGGCATTGCCAGAACCGAAACTTTTCGGGTTCACTCCTCTGATTTCGAAGAGGCCGTGAGAACTGCTTTTAATGCTGAGCAAAACTTCAATTCAACCAGGATTGGCTGGAATGTGTACAACACTAGCTCTGCGAAATCAAAATCTACGAGTGGTCCAGCCTATAATAGGCCGAAACTGATGTATCTCAGCTATGCTGAAGATAAAGTTGAAGTTGAAACTCAAATCTGCTGAGTAGAAACGCATCGTACAGCGATGCATTACGTGAGCAAGCACACTTGCGGCCCGGTTGCCCTTTGCGTAAACAGCGTCAGGCTATTAGCCAAGACTCAATAATAATCCATAAGTTTGGCATTGCACGGGGGAATGCCGACGCCCAGTATGCGCGGGACGCCCTACTGAGGAATAATTGGGTTCTGTTACACATTTAGGAGGTAAAGTTAAACAGGGCTTAGCCCCAAAGTCTCCGTACCTATTGGTAAGGATTGTGGGTACAAATCTGGCTTGTTAGTCGCCGAGACGAAAATTAAGGGCTTTGAGAGATCTTGATCAATAGTGATCGATTTCTAGAGCGCCTTGCAATTATCCTCTACGTCGCTTTCTGGAGGGGAGTCAGCTTTATGCTGAGGCGCTTACAGCGCATGAGGTTGATTCTATCACGGTTCGTTAAGCAAATGGAAGTCGTGTTATTGTGTCTAAAGTTCTTTTGAACTTATGAATACAGTTTTTAAGACTTTAGCAGCGTTGAACGCTTTGTTGTCCTTGATTTGTACTCAAGACATGATCTCATGCTTGGTATGGCTTGGCTTGAACGCCATGATCCATGTATAAATTAGAATTTAAGACTTAAGGCGCCACGCGCAACGTTCCTAGCAAAGTTTTGGGGAGTCATATACCCACCTTCACTAGGAAACAGAAGCACTACTGGCGCGAGCCTTTGGCAGAAGATGTCAATATGCTGGACATTTGAATGTCTGAATTGTCTAACTCTAATGTTGTAAACATAGATCCGAGCGTAGCTCATTAATTAATTGGGATACAGCACGTACTGCGTTGAGTGTTACTCGCTGTGATAACGATTAACTGCATGATAAAAGCATGGCTGGACTAGGGCTAAAATATCAAGGATGTGATTCCTTTGATGTGTTTAAGGTGGCACGTGAAATCCACTGAGTGTGGTCGGACCTGAAGGCACTACACTTAATGTCGGTAATGACATCGTTGGCGAAGCGCCGTTCAGTTTAAAGCTGGGCCCAAATAATGTACGTGGGTGGTACGTGAAAATCCATTGGGTGAAGAGTTCGTGTCATTTGTTACTTCACCAGATGTCGGTCAATATATCGGATCTCGTATAGAGCTCACTACTATTAGTAGTAATAAAGGGGGCAGTACTGGCACTACCCCTAAGGTGTGTAAGGTCTCAAAGAGACGACTCGGACGTCAGGTAGCAACTGTAATGCGACAGGCGCCCACACAGTCACTAAGTGATAAGAGTAATACAATATACACTCTTGTTAATGGAGTGACTGATCAATTTGATGGCAATGTTAGCCTTAAAATCCTTACATCTTTGGATGCTTTGTGTGAGCTAGACGAAGTGTCTGATGGCGAGTTTGCCAGGCCTTACAGGCAGAAAAATTTTCCGAATTAGTGGTCATCAGACTCGATGTTAAGTTAAACTCGTCCTCAACATCAAACGAGTCTATATAAGAAGACTGAAAAGCAGCACTTAGTGCACGAAGGGGATCTTCGATCCCTAACGATCCTTTAGATTCGTTTATCCTTTGGATCCCTTTACCCTTTGGTTGAGGATTTTTAAGATACGGTGTGTCACAATCCACCATCTATCTTATTACCTGATAGAGGTGTACGTCATGAAATTGACTTAGGTACAGATATTAAACACTGCGTAAAAATGCAGTGGCTTCTGCCTAAAGAACGGTGACGTCATCGTCGATTTCTTTCGTGCTAAGCACGCGGCTGGAATGTTTCGTGAAATTAAATCTCCCCATTCAACACCGAAAATTTGTGACAAGAGGCCAAAAGGCAAGTGGCGCATAGTGCATGCTGATAATAGGCTCAATGCAGCCACTACACCGGCTCGTACGCCTATTCCTAGAAAGGCTGTTTTTTAGAACAATATGGTAGGACGTACATTGTAAAGTGTACTCGACTTAGTCGATGGTTATTACCAGCTACTCATGCGATCGAGTGATACTCCGCTGACTGCTGTAAGTACTCCAAGCGGTATGCTCTGGGAGTGTTTCGTTAGGCCACAGGAGATGTCCAACGCCCCGGCTACATTCAAACGTCTCATGACGCAGTTGTTCTGACCTCACCGAGGCTACGCACAAACGTGGTGTGACGAAATTTTTGTCCATAGTCGTGCAACCAATGGTCGATCAGATGTGGATAACCACTTTGATCATTTACGAGCGGTACTCGAGTGCAAGCGCACGCTTTAATTATACGCTAATACATCTAAGTGCAACTTGAGCGCAAAAGAGATTCCATTTCTAGGATTCTTCGTTAAAAAGCGAGGCCTTCGAGCGAACCCCGCTAAGGTAACGGCCATAGTCAATTGGCCGGTTACTAACAACCAAAAGGAATTACGTAAGTGGCTTATCTTTGCCAATTACTTGCATAAGTATGGTGCGAATTACGCAGACATGGCTAGGCCACTATCCAATCTCCTAAACAAGGATGCGAAATTGGTTTAGGGGCATTTCGAGTACGATGCTTTTGAAGCGGTTAAGAAGAGTCTCTTTAATGCGTCAATATTGGCTTTGCCCGATCCTGATCGGCCCTTCAGTGTCGTCTGTGATGCATCTGAATTGGCTGTTATTAGCGCTCTGTTACAAACACATGTTGATGGACACGAGCGCGTCATTGCGTTTGAGTCTTTACAGCTTAAAGCTGAAAAGAACTATCCAGTTAATAACAAAGAGCTACTTGCCATGAAGTATGCTCTTGTCAAATTCAGAGTATATCTGCTTGGCTTAGAGCCAGTTTTGATCTATACAGACCATGCGTCATTGCGCACTTCGACAAATTCGCCGCATCTATCTCAGAGAATGGCTCGTCGGCTTTCATTCTTTGCAGAAAATTACTTCGAGGCAAAGTGTAAGCCAATAAAGCAAAATGCTTTGGCTGATGCGCTATCGCGCCAACCTGACTATGACCCTGCTAATGTTTCAACACTGTCGTCATCAGTCCCGTGCGGCTTATGCCAAAAATGACCAATGTGTAGCTTTGCTACGGGCTCTTGGAAGCGATGAGTATAAAGACTAGTTAATTGATTGTCGGCAGGTTAACGTGCAAGGCTACATCGGTAATCTATCTAAATGGCCTGTTGTGCTATCGCACAGAGATCAAAGATACCCCTCGTATCACTTTCCTCATGATGAGCATCGAATACTCTATGAGGCACACGATACTGCTTTGAGCTGTCATATGGTCGGGAGAAGGCCTATGGCCAGGTGAGTTAGGCTTTTTAGGGGCCAAAGATGTACAAATTGGTGAGCATGTATGTGCGTACGTATCATACGTGTCAACGGGTAATACCTCAGCACATCCGGCTACGACGCCGGCTATTCTGCCTGTACCCACTATGTGTTAGGAGTACATGAGCATGGATTTTGTTTTCGGACTACCAAAGGATTCGGAAGGCAACACTGGTATTGTGGTCTTTGTTGACCGTTTGCGCTAGATGACTCATTCAGTGGCTGTGCCGATTACGATTGATGCTAAAAGCACGGCCAAGCTGTTAATTGATCGTGTGTTCCGACAACATGGTTTCCTGTGGTAGTTTTCTCTGATAAAGAGCTCCCGCTTCACTGGGAAGGGTTGAAAGTCTATCTATAAGTTGCTTGGCACCCGATCATACATGTCCACGGCGGATCATCCGCAGACACAAGGTCAAACTGAGCGTGTTAATCGCGTCATTAACGACATTTTGCGTAGGCTTTGCACTGACAAGCCACGGCGATGATGCTCAATGCGCCCTGTTGTTGAATTTGCGTTTAACAACGCTTTTCATGCCCCCACAGGCTTCACTCTGTTTTACGTAAGCGGTCTCACCCACCTTCGCGTTTTGTTAACGCTACCTCTCTTTGTGGATCAGGGCTTGGTGGGAGAGAGGGTTCCGGTCGGCTTGCTGATATTAGCCCTGCTACTGCTCTAAAACATTTAGACGAGTTTCTCGCAACGCAATTGAATGTCATACGACATGTGCGTGACGCAAATTCTGATAGCCAAGTTCAACAAAAAGAACAAGCTGATACCAAAGGCTAAAATTGCATTGAAACTTATGAGGTTAAAGACCAATTATTGCTCAACGCCAAAAGCCAATCTTCAATTGTAGTGTCTGCTGTCTTTAAGACAAAGTTGAGTCCACGCTTCATTGGACTGTTTTAAGTCACCGCCTAGAAGGACCTTGCGTATACGCTTAACCTTCCACGCAAATTGCGCACACACCTGAGTTCTACGTAGGATTACTTAATCCGTACCGGAATTCATCTCATGTGAAATTTGAGGCGCTGGCGCCGACAACGAGGGCGGTGCCCGTATTACCGCAATCGAATCAACAA